TGGCAGTGTTATAGGCCAAAATGAGTCTGCACCATCAAAGTCATGTCTGTCCAGCGCTGGGACAGATCTAGAGGTTGCGTTGGTAAGCACTGGCCTAAGGACAATGCCCTTGGGCTTTATCTGGCACTGAGCTTTGAGGCAAAGCCCTAAGACCCCTTTCCCACCGTCCTTTTGGCTGGTTGTCAAAGGCTGGGGGAGGGGTAGTGGAGGTGGTGCTTTGGCCACCTGGCTAAGGACAGTCCGGGAAGACAGAGTCTCACCATAGCAGGACTAGGTTTCAAATCTAAGGTCTATACTTAATCCCCTCCTCTCCTTTGCCCAAGCCAAGAGGCAAAGTATGTCTTTCCATTGCTGCACTAGTTGGAGTCCATCTGCATTTCACTCTCCAATTGTCTGTAGTGGTCCACACCAAAACATGGAGCTGGGAACTCAATCCAGGTCTCCCCATGAACGGCAGGGACCCAACCACTTGAGCCCAGGAACTCTGAGGAGCAGGCATTGTAACTGCTAGGTAGAATGCCCACCCCTTCCTGCCTTCTTCAATGTGTCTTTTATTGTTACAGTAGATCTAGGCACTGTGATCTCATGTGGCTTCCTTAGCGCTTGTGAAGGTGGCTTGGTGTGTTTAACAGCTGTTCAAATCAGTGTCTCTGTGGGGAGGAAACTGCTGGAACATCTTACTCCACAGCCATCTTGCACATTTCCCCACCCCACCCCCGACATGAAAGCCAGGTGAGGAGCCTGGGCTGTCAGGGGCAGGTGGTGCTGGTACGCAAGCAGCTCACTGAACTCGAACTTCCATCCTCCCTGAGCCATGCCAGCTCCAAACTCCCCACCTGCTCACCACTCAGCTGCCAACCAAGAGATCTGCTCTTACTCCCAGCGGGCTGCAAATCACCTTCCCTGGGAGATAGAGCATTCACTGTCAGCTTCCCAGTGCTGCTCTGTGGCACTGGGCACAGCTGTAAGCTCTCAACCAAAAATGCGGGTGAAGGTTGGAAGATGGAGGATGACGTGGTCTTGTCCATATAATGGAGGAACAGCCTAGGAGCAGCCCTGATGTGAGGACTGAGATGGGGGCTGGAGCAGATTTTTCAAGAGATCACATGTGCTCTTTCCTCCTGCCCCGCCTGTGGACCGTGCAGAGGACTGTGCAGTGCACCAGGTCAGTCTTCTCCCCCACCACAGGCCACATGCTAAGCCTGTGCTGTATCTTTCTCCTGGTCCTGGGTGGGATTTTGATTCCAAAAGTCAAACAAGGGTTGCAGTGACAGAGGAAGAAGATACACTTAATGAAGGACAAACTAAATATAGATCATAAATTAGAAGAAAATAAATGACTTCAAGAACCTAAGAAGCTGCAAAGCAGTGAGAGCTGCAGGGCAAAAGGGCCACTGGGACATTTGTAACATCATGAGCAGGCCACAGAGCAGGCCACACACAATTATCCACTGTTAGTCTGCTATAGATTGCTTGAGTTTTGAGGTATACCTGTAGTTGCCCTGGCAGGGCCAGACCAAATGATCTCGCAGGCCTTACACAACCCACAGACAGGATGTCCCCCTACCCTGCTTCAGAAAGCTAGAATGTGCCTGCCCAGCTGGGCCTCAGTCCTGGTTCCACAGTGCAGTCCAGGACGAAGCATTCATGCCTGTGATAAAAGGGTCAGTTTCTCACAGCACTGAACGGCAAAGCCACCTGAGTCACCGCTGAGAAGAGGCTCTCAGGCTACCCGGTCCGCCCAGTGAAAAGGGACTTCCGGGCACAGGGGCCAGGAAAGGATGGGGCACGCTGGGAGAAGCCAGGGGGCTTCAATCCTGGCTGCACACTGGACCTCCCAAGATAGCTTTTACACACCAATTGCTCCTGGGACTGAATCCCTTCACAGGGAATTCTAATCTTGGGGCTACTGTACTGGTCAGCCAAGGGAACCACCGCACTAGGCCAAGAGTTTGCAAAGATAATATACACACCTCATTTTGTTCAAAGAATCCTAAGTACATGGAACAGTTCAACTGCAGAAAACACCTGTCTGTGCTTGCTCTGAGAGGAGACCAAGAGAACCAGAAAGAGTGTTGCAAAAGGAATGGCAATGGTGCCAAAAATGTAAAATCTTCTAATTAATCTGCATAGACAAGCCAAGTGAAAAACACTGGATGGATCAGTCAGTATGTGAGGGAAGCCAAATAAACTCCATCAGCAAAAATGTAGATCTCTTCCTTTAACTTTCTTATTAAAACGCTTACTAGTGCTTAAAAAAAGTTTATTTTCATCTACTTGAAAGGCAGAGAGATCTTCCATCACCTAGTTCACTGCCCACCCCCAAATGCCCACAACAACCAAATCTGGGCCAGGCTGAAGCAGGAGCCTAGAACTCCATCTGGGTTTACCACATGGGGGAGTGCAGGGACCTGTGTACTTGGGCTATCCTCTGCTGCCTCCCAGGATGCATTAGCAGGAAGGCAGATCTGAAGTAGAGCAGCCAGGACTCAAACTGGCACTCTGATTTGGGGTGCAGGTGTCCCAAGGGGTGGCTTAACCTACCATGCTGCAACACCTGACCCTTCTCTTGTTTTGTTTTAATTTTAAATTTTAGAAAGCACTATCAATATTAAAATGCCTTGTGCAAGCTCTACCATGTGAGGACACCAGGAAAAGTCAAGCATCTGCAATCCAAAACACAACCTTCACTGACCATGCTGGCACCCAGCTCAAAATCCAGCTTTCAGAACGGTGAGAAACACACTTCCTGTTGTTCACAAGACATTCAATTGATGGTACTTTGTTAGAGCAGGCCAAGATGATGGATGCTAGTTTTATATACCTTAGCTGTACAGTCAAGTACACTTTATCTCCCACTTACACGTTAGACCCTGCTGGTCAAATTCCTGCACTTTCTCCCTGATCCTACACACATCACAAAATGTCTAAGTACAGTGACCCAGAGGCATTTCACAGTTGACTTTATATCTTTAATCCTGCTGATGGGTGTGTCACCTTCCCACTTTCCCCACTACCCTCAATGACTTCAACTAGCCCACCCTTGCATTATTGTAATAAGGGTCCACATTCTGGTGGTGGAACACCTTGCTCTAAACTCTAGAATAATCCACTCTAAGAAGCAATGGTGCTTCCCTAATCTCCAGAATCACCAGAGAATAGGCTTGGAGAACTGCCTCTCTGGGTCCCCTCTCCTGCACCCCTCCCACAGAGCTTAGAAACAAGGCAATGCACACAACTTGTCTGCCGCAGAGTCAGGGACACAGTGCGTTAGTTCCCCCATTTCTGCACTGGCAGTGGGCCAGAGACAACTCAAACCCCGCCACATGGGGTTTGCAAGGAAAGCAGAGGTGCTGGAGGACAGGGTGTCTTTTCTGAGAACAGTGTGTATTAGAGATGTGCCGGCAGCTAAAACCACAGCACCATAACACCTGCCTCTCTGGGAACTTTTTGAAGACCCCACATTTGCACTGATTTCAAAATTTTATCTTTTAATTCTGTTTGTTAATGAACTTCTCAAAGTACCCTCAGTGTGTTTAATTTTTCAGTAAGTAAAACTAAGATTCATGGTATTTGGCTCCTTAAGAGTTAGTACATGACCCACTGATAAAAAGCAGAACTAGGACCAGGCATCTGGCATACTGGTTAAGAAACTGCTTGGGATGCCCACCCCTCCTATCAGAGTGCATGGTTAAGTGCCAGCTCCTCTGTTTCTGATCCACTGTCCTGCTAATGCATACCCTGAGATACGGCAAATTATGCTCCAAGTATTTGCATTCCTGACACCCACAAGGGAGACCCAGATGCAGTTCTTGGCTCCTGGTTTCAGGCCAAGCCCCAGCTATTATGGGCATTTGGGAAATAAATTAACACTAGGAGATGTGGTGTCTCTACTTATCAAATAAAGTATACAAACAACTTTTACAACAATATATAAAAGCAAAACTTTAGTTGACTATTAAGGCACCTTTCCCCTATACTTCCCAGGGCATCTCCTACCTGTGGGGGCAGAGCAAGTGTCCACAGAGTCACAGGGATTGCCCTTCCATCCCGCTTGGTTTTCAGCTCCTGTTTTTCTTGGCTTTCATTCTTGGTGCTTGATCTTGACCCACAACCTGGATCACACATTCACAGGACTACAGCACAGTCCAGACAGGAATTGGTCAACACAAACCTCTTCCCAAAGGCAGTGGCCACTGAGCAGCAGCTTTTCAGGTGCTTCCTGGAGCACAAGGCACACACAGGAGCCAGCAGCCCTGGTCCACTGGGTCTGCTTCCAGGGCCACAGCAGGAAAGCCACAGAAGCCTGAGCAGCCACACCAAGATACCAACACAAACTGCCAAGAAAAAGGACAGAGCTGTCGAAATGAAAAGCTGCACAGCCAAATAATATTTTGCTTACAGTGGATTACTTGGAGTTTGAATATTCACAAAGGAGTTACTGATGAGTCATCTGTCATGTTAGAGGAATGGAGAGAGGAGAGTTTCAGCATATTCTGATACAATTAAGCCTAGGCTAAAATCTCAGCATTTATATTTTTGAGGGCACCACAGGCAATCCTGCTGCTTACCAAGACCCAAAACCCATAAACATCAGGGAATGCCTCTAGTTACGAATAGGAATTATAAACAATAGGAACTAAATCTCTGCCATGTGTCCATACTACTTTATGAATGTGCTACGATTACTAATGTCATCTGGAATTTTCCTTTTATCTCTGCTGTGACTACTTCCCTCTGCATCACAGCATTTCCCACAATGTGTTCTTCCTCCCACCGCCTGATCCTTCAGCACCTATGAAGTTGTGCAAGGTTGGCCTGCTCTGCACACTGCCTCATGCTGCATGGCATCCACTCGTGAGAGCAACTTACTTACTGCTGGGTGATGTCACCGGGTGTTCCAAACACTCAGAACAGCCCGAGACTGCAGGCTGAGCTATACAGGTGTAGCCCTAGGGGCAACAGGACCCTCAGCCTCTCCAAACAAGAATGGAACATGGTTATAAACATTATTAAATTTTATTAACAAAAACTTTTTACATTCTTTTAATACATGTGGAATTTTACATCTAGGTAAAATAACAACACATTCAAAATTTACCATTTATACAAATTGTTACAGAATAACAACCAGTGGGTTAAATAAGTAAAATAAACCGCACTGATTTTTTTTAAATTATCTACAAAAGATTTGACTTTCTTTAAAATTCCCCAGAACATATAAAAATAAATTAATTTTACTTTCAATTAAATCTACCAATTAGAAATATTACAAATCAAAATATCAATGTTATCTTATGAATTTTTCACAATACAAAACAGATTCACAAAACCTTATTTACAGAAATGAGGTAAGAACTGTGCAATGTTTAACCAAGAGACATATTGCAGAATTAACATGTTCTTCCAGCTAAGTACACAGTGGAGGTCTAATTACAGCTGGGTCTTTTCCACTAATAATTCACACATACAAGAACAGTTCAATGGTTACATGCCCAATTCTTTAATCAATTCCTCTGCCGTATCTCACATCAAGAGCATGGCTCCCGAAGGAGAAGGGCTGTAATATAGGTCTCCCCTGTTCCAGGAATATAATGGTGGGTTTGTGTGTGTGGGTTTTTTGTGTGTGGGTTTATGTGTTGTTTTCTTTTTGGTTTGTTTTAATGGTAATAGGAAGTAGTATAAATAAAACAAATACATATTCTTACCAAGTCCACTCATTTTCTTGTGATTCATTAGTGGATAAATACCCAGGTAATGGTTTTGCCTGAGCTATCTACAGTGGCATAGAAAGTTTTCAATGAAGGCGGAAGCACGGGGAAGGCTGCTGGGACAAGGCAAACGATTCCTGCTACTTTACAAGGACTGACTGTAGCTCAGCTCTGCTCTCTAGAGCCATCACAACACAATGGAGGTACTAACAGGCACTTGATTAAGGCCAAACCCTACTAGCAGTTTCCAGAGTGGCCTCTCTTTCTGAAAGAAGTATTTTGCTTTGATTGATCTGGTTCCCCCAGCAGCCTTAGAACTTGCTTAACTCAGGGATTTTTAAAAGTTATGAATCTTAACACTAAAGAAAAACCACTTAGTAAAAGAAAATTACCATTAGCAGAAGCAGACAATACCGTCCTAACGTGATTAACAAAATTGGCCAAATCCCATTGGAAGGAAATTTTTTTTAAACAAAGATTGCCAAGTGCCAGTTGATGACCTATATATATATATATTTGCAATATTTACTCAATAAAACTCTGGAAGAAATTGGACAGTTCCTTGAAATTTGTTCTAAGATCTCACAGAGCAAGCATACTGTAATGCAAAGAGAAGATCCTATTTCATAAGCAACTTGTAGAGTGAAAGCAAGGAGGTTTTAAATGGAACAAGTCTAGCTTTGCTATTCATATCTCCAATTTATAGCAAAACTAGATGTGCACCAACTATATTAAATTTTTCTTGGGTTGATAAACTCATTGCATGTAAATTATTTCATTGACAAAAGTTAGTTATTAAATTTTCTTTCAAAGTTCAAAAAATGTGGGTAAGGGAATATGGGAATTCCATGTCAGTGCAACAAAGCAACAAGAAAATTAATCAAAGCCTTACAAGAACGTGCTTGCGGCAACTAATCCTGTGTTGTGCGGTTAGTCTCTTGTTGCGTTTCTTCATAGTTGTAGTAAACAGACTGCAACAGCAGCCAATGACGTGTGCCAGAACAGCAGGGTAGGCAATTTCTGAATGTTTTTCAAGTGTCAACTTTTCTCTTGAGCTACAGGCCCAGTTTTATCACTAAGTCTCTGCAGTTAAACAAAAAAATCAGATGCATTAGTTCAATCAATTTGGGGCCAGCATTTAGGGTAATATATCTTTTAAGTGAAACTGTAACTGATGGATAAAATGTGGTTTTTTGGATGATTCCTTTTCTTAGCAAGTTGGCATGGCCACTTTTCAGCATAATATAAAGACATAAATTTACTATTAAAGCTTTATAACATTCAGTTCAGCAATACAGAAAGACAATGAGCAACACAAGAGGCAATGAGCCCATTTGAGGGATGGAACTCCTAAGGAATGAATGTAGAATTCATTCTCCAAAATAAACTTTTCCTCAGATGCAGTAACACAGTTATCACGGATAGTGAATTTTTTACAGACTAAAAAAATCATGGGCTCTGATCTGACCTAAACTATTTGTTCTTTGAGCTTTAAACTCTTTGTTGAGTCCAGTCTTTAAACCATGGCTACATCATATTATTTCAAGACTGAAATCACAGTTCCCATTGGCTCTAACAAGGAAGGATACCTAGCACATAGAAGGGTGCTCAGTAAACATTACTGCCCAGCCGCACTCTCCTCTGTCAGCTCTGAAGTATACCACTTCTTTTTATATTATCTTTTCCATGAAAAAATACATTTCATATTGTAAAGCTGAGGAAGAATTAGCTTTAAATTTACGTTTTTAACACAACAAAGAAATTAGTGACCTAAAGGCATAAAAATACAAAACGTTTCTAGATCATTAATCAGTGAAATCTCCCACATCAGCAAGACTCTGGAGCCATAACAAGGTTTGTGGTAATGACACCATCTCACAATCAGGAAGTTGGTGACACAAGAGGGCAAACAGAATAGTACTGAGGAGTTAATGCAAAATAATCCTCTAGTTGAAACCAACTCTTGTTACTACATAAAAACTAAAGTTTCTGAAGACTTAAAAGCACGGCAAACAGAAAACGTTCAAAGTAATGGGAAATAGCAAACACTGTGACTTTTCTTTAACACTTTGATTTGCCAAGTCTCCCACCTCATTCTTTCCCTTCTTCCTTTTCCTGATGTCCAGTCTCCATTCTATATCCCAATATCCTTCCTCTAACAGGGTTCTGCCCTGAACTGGAATTTAGGGGAAACATTTATACTCCAGTAAAGTAGACCTAATTGAAGAGGGGAGAATTAATAAAAACAAACAGCCTTAAAGTGTATGCTACTGTATGTGTAGTATACTGTTCCTGTACCCAGTGTTAACTTTTACATTGAAAAGGGTAAAATACTACTAAATAAAAATATTTTAAAACTGAAATTCCATTATAAATGTGACTGATTTAAAAAGTAATCTGGTAGAATAATTGAACTCCTTGACTTAAAATTTTATTATAAATATAATTCAGCTTTAAAAAGCACTTGGAGCAAAATAATAGAAATATTCTGCAGTTATATATACTGGTTCTATAAACAAATTACTTGAACAAAGTTTCTCAAAGTATATTATCTTCTAATTGGCTCATCCTACTTAATACCTACATAATACTTGCTAACTAAACAGTTTCAGTGTGAAAAGTGAATTATAAAAAGGCCTTCAAATCTTAAATGCAAATGCAGACTGATATGCTTAAGAGATATAGAAAGTGACTTAAGTCCTTTGTGTTTACAATGCCCAGCTGCTGAAAAAACTAGTACTGAGACATTGCCAGGAGAAAAACAGGTGTTATTTAAAAAAGGGGGGGGGGGGGGGCTGGAAAATGATCTTTGATTAATCAATGAAATTCTTAATATTAACAAAAATACTTACTGCGACTTTCTGGCTTGCATTATCTCCATGTATGGTCAGAAATGGGTTGGTGGTAGCTGTGTGAAGTGGGGGCGCCTGAGTACCTGCAAGAAGGTTGTTTATGGGTATTTGTGTTGGCCCAGGGATCTGTAGCTGCTGTAGTTCAGGCTGGTGGTGCTGCTGGTGGTGATGTTGCATTAATTGATATATAAAGGCTTGATGCTGTTCCTTAGGCAAAAACGGGATAAAGTAAGTTTCCCAATCACAGAATTAGACAGTCAGAAAAGCCAGTTTTCTGCTTTTTAGTTCCTTTAATATTAAACATGTCAGTGTTAACTACAGTGTTACTATTAAGAAAGAAGTATCTCATCCAGAAAAATGGGCTGCACTGGATACCTGTCTACTATAAAATGTATCAGTAAGCAACTTATTTTCCAACAAGACAAAATATGATAGGTCTTGAGACCTTTAATCTAATGAGGTTTTCGGCGATGATCAGGAGAAGAGCAACTTAGGAGACAAGTTAGCTGCTTCTGACTTCAGAACATACCACATGGGGCAAACCCTTCCCATTATTTTGCTCAGCGTTAGAACGTTAATGTTCCCAGTCTTGTTTAACAGAAAGGGTGCAGTTACTATTCACAGCAAGCACATTGTATTTCATTATACATACACTTCCTGAATGTTTATGATGGACCAGCTACTATTCTAGGTGCCTGAAATTTTGTAGGTGGGAAGGGAGTACACAAGGGGACTAAGGAGACACAAACAAAAATGTGACAATGTGACAATATTTTACTTGAAGGCAGTGGGCAACTAGAGTGTGTGTGACAAAGTGTGGTGTGGGTTGGGGGTAGGTGGTTAGGTTCTAACTTTATTTAATTTCAAAAGGCAGGCACAGAGAGGAAAACAGATCATCCACTAGTGCACCCGACAGATGCCCACAACAGCTAGACCTGGGAACAATGTCCAGGTCTCCCATATGGGTAGCAAGAACCCAGTTATTTGAGCCATTACCGCTGCTCCCCAGGGTGTGCATTAACAAGAAGCTGCAGTCAGGAGCCCTGGTCAGGTATCAGACACAAGTGTCTTAACTGTTCTCTAGACCACAAGACTAAACGCCTGCCTCCAGTGGAAAGATGACACACTGTGACTTCAGGGGTTCCTGATGTCATCAACATGTGATGCGAAGAGAAGACCAAGGTTTTCAGCTTGGGCCACTGGGAAGATGGGGCTGCCATCAGCTGAAATGGAGGAAAATGGTTTCTACAGAAAGACCAGAAATTCGTTTTTGTACACAGTATATCTGATATGTCTTTTAAGATACACAGGTGCAGGATACTACTTGAAGCTTCAGATAGAGGCCTGGCATAAATATCACCAAATAAAAGGTATTGAAAGAGATGAAACTGAAGGTCATTCAATTCTAGGGCACTTTCAAGTTAAGAGGCTGAAGAAAACAGGGGCCCAGGAAAGGAGGTTTAAAAGAAAAAAGATGAAACAGTGAGGTCAGAAGAAAGCCAAGATAATGTGGCATCCTGAAAGCTGCTGGGGGGGCTGACATGGTAGAATAGTGGGTTAAGCCTCCATCTGTGTACTGGGCACCAGTTTGAATCCCAGGTGCTCCACTTCCAATCCACCTCCCTGCTAATGTGCCTAAGAAAGAAGTGGAAAATGGCTCAAGTGCTTGGGCCCCTGCACCCGTGTGGGAGACCTAGAAGAAGCTCCTGGCTCCTGACTTCAGCTTGGCCCATCCCTGCCACTGTGACCACTTCAGGACTGAACCAGCGGGTGGAAGATCTCTCCCTGTCTCTCCTCCCTTTCTCTGTAACTCTGCCTTTCAAATAAATAACAAATCTTTAAAAAAAGATTTATTGAAAGGCAGAGTTAGAGAGAAGTAGAGGCAGAGAGAGAGACAGAGAGAGGTCTTCCAATCCACTCATTCAGTTCCTAAATGACCACAATAGTCAGAGTTGAGCTGATCCAAAGCCACAAGCCAGGAGCTTCTTCCAGGTCTCCCACAAAGGTGCAGGAGCCCTAGGACATGGGCCATCCTCTGCTGCTTTCTCAGGCCACAGCAGAGAGCTGGATTGGAAATGGAGCTGCTAACACTCAAACCGGTGCCCACATGGGATGCCAGCACTGCAGGCTGGGGCTTTAACCTCCCACGGCACAGCACCAGCCCCAAAATAAATATTTTAAAAAAATAATAAGCTAGGCCGGTGGTGCGGCTCACTTGGCTAATCCTCCGCCTACGGCACCAGCATCCTGGGTTCTAGTCCCGGTCGGAGCGCCCGCCTGATTCTGTCCTGGTTGCTCCTCTTCCAGTCCAGCTCTCTGCTGTGGCCCGGGAAGGCAGTGGAGGATGGCCCAAGTGCTTGGGCCCTGCACCTGCATGGGAGACCAGGAGGAAGCACCTGGCTCCTGGCTTCGAATCGGCGCAGCACTGTCCGTAGCAGCCATTTGGGGGGTGAACCAACAGAAGGAAGACCTTTCCCTCTCTAACTCTGCTTGCCAAAAAAAAAAAAAAAAAAAAAAAAGCTAATGGGATGAAAAATGATTAACTGTCAAATGCTGTTGCCAGGTCGGGTAAAAAGAAAATGAGATCGACCACAGAATTCCACAATAGGAAGGTCAGCTGGGAGGCAATAAGAAGCAGAGAAAGAGGGTGGGGAAAAAAATTTTTTTTTTTTTTTTTTTACATTTATTTACTGGGGCCAGCACTGTGGCGTAGCGGGTAAAGCCACTGCCTCCAGTGACAGCATCCCATATGGGTGCTGGTTCAAGTACTGGCTGCTCCAATTCCAATCCAGCTTTCTGCTATGACTTGGGAAAGCAGCAGAAGATGGCCAAGTCCTAGGGCCCCTGCACCTGTGTGGGAGACCTGGAGGAAGCTCCTGGCTCCTGGTTTCGGACTGGCACAACTCTGGCCATTGCAGCCAACTGGGGAGTGAACCAGCAGATGAAGACACCCCTCCCTCCCTCCCTCTCTCTGCCTCTCCTCTGTGTAATTCTTTTAAATAAATAAATCTTTTTAAAAAAGATTTACTTATTAAATAATAAATATAATTAATTAAATAATAAATAGTAAATAATTTACTTATTTCAAAGGCTTTACCCATTATGCCACAGTGTCATCCCCAAGGGTGATAACCGATGGGAAGTTCAGTCTTAGTTATTTTTAAGATGGATGAGGTAGAGGGTAGGAGTCTGACACAGCAGTTGAGATACTTCTTGGAAAAGCCACATCCATATTGGAGTGCCTGGATCTAATCCAAGTTCCAATTCCAATCTGAATTCCTGCTACTGTATACCTTGGGAGGCAGCTCAAGTACTGGGGTTGCCAACCATGTAGGAGGCCCTAATACAATTCCTGGCTCCTAACAGAGCCCACCCTAGTTCTGGTGGGCATCTGTGGAATGAACCAGATGTTGCGTTCTCCCTCTGGCTCTGGGTCTACTTTTCACATAAAATGAAAAAAAAATTTTAAAAACTAGAGGATGTATACGTGTTCTAAAATAAAAATTTGCCAACTTAAAATCTCTAAATGAACGAACTGCACGAACTCTGCTAAAGAAGGAAAAAGCAGGACGGTGCCATGGCGCACTAGCCTAATCTTTCCGCCTGCGGCGCCGGCAACCCAGGTTCTAGTCCCGGTTGGGGTGCCTGATTCTGTCCCGGTTGCTCCTCTTCCATCCAGTCCAGCTCTCTGCAGTGGCCCGGGAAGGCAGTGGAGGATGGCCCAAGTGCTTGGGCCCTGCACCCGCATGGGAGACCAGGAGGAAGCACCTGGCTCCTGGCTTTGGATCGGCATAGCTCTGGCCGTAACAGCCATTAGGGGGATGAACCAACGGAAGGAAGGAAGACCTTTCTCTCTCTCACTGTCTAACTCTGCCTGTCTAAAAAAATAAATATAAAGAAGAAGAAGAAAGAAAAAGCAGAGTTGAAATCCATTTAGCTCTTGTGATCTCTGAAAAATAATTTGTGCTGAAAATTCCTTTATCAACCATGTTCTAAAAATGAAACATCCATATGTGCTATCATTAACAGAGCAAAATTTTAACTATTAGAAAGAAACTCAAACTGAGTTTGAATATTTCTTTTTTAAAATTTTTATAATTTTATTTTTTAAATATATTTGAAAGCCAGAGTCACAGAGAGAGGGGGTTGAGGAGACAGAGAGAGCTTCTGTATGCTGCTTCATTCCACAAATGACCACAATGGCTGGACCAAGCTGAAGCCAGGAGCTGCTTCTGGGTCTCCCACATGGGTGCAGAGGCCCTAGCACCTGGGACATTTTCTACTGCCTTCCCAGGCCATTAGCAGCGAGCTGGATTGCAAGTGAAGCAGCTGGGTCTCAAACTGGCCAGCATCCATATTGGACACTGGTGCTGCAGGCAGCGGCTTAACCCGCTACCTGGTTGGAATTTTAATATTTCATATTATGTCAGGCAAGTGGGGCAAGCAATATGGCACAGCACATTAAGCTGCCACTTGCGATGCTAGTCATACTGGAGTGCCAGGTTGAGTTCGGCTCTTCTACTTCCAGACCTCCAAACCAGCTCCCTAGTGATGTGATTAAGAAAGTAGGGGAAAGATGGCCGGAGTGCTTGGACCCCTGCCACACATATGGGAGACCAGGATGGAGTTCTGGGCTCCTGGCTTCAACCTGGCCCAGCCACAGACGCTGGGTCCATTTTGGGAGTAAACCTGCAGATGGAAGATCTCTTTCTCTGTCCCTCCCTCTCTCTGCCACTCTGCCTTTCAAATAAGTAATCTTAAATAAATAAATCAGTGAAATAAAGCAAGTGGTAAGAAAACATCACATTTTAATGTATTTAGATATCATCTATTTTTATACCATTCTAAGAACAGTGACAGTGAAAACAGTGATCCAGAATCAAAACAAGTATTTTCAATGTTTTTTACTAAAGCAAGAAAGCACATAAATTAACTTTATGAAGAAATGAAAAACAAAGGATGACCCCAATGTTTATTTAACAGTCATTCTCCAAGTAGCCCAACTAAGTGAAGTGTGCCATGGAAACGGAACAGGAGAAAAGCTACTCAGTTTGTCAGTGTGGTCTTGTTTTATTTACGACAGAGGGAGACTACTGCCCTTAGCCTGAGCCACACATTCACATGTCTTAATTCTTTCTCCCCTTCTCCAAGATAGCTGTTTCACAGATTCTCTCCCCTCCAACCATCAACACCCCTGTCTCTGTCACTCACTCTGCTGATACTTCTAATTAAGAAAATAATAGACATTAAAAGTGCTATTTCCACAACCCATTTGTCACCAAACCAGCTATAGGTGCTCTTCCTATCTGTAACTGAAATGTAGGTATCACCTCTGCTTCCTGTCTATCGCCTCCCTTCAACACATGTAAGCTGGCAACTTCAAAATACATTTGTTTCTACAATGCCCTTATATTTCCTGTAGCTGCCCATTTCTCTGCTTTCTATACTTAATGTCTTAAGTTCGCTATACTTCATCTTCACGTCCTAATTTTCTTTGAGCCACTCAATTAGGATTTTTACTACAATTACACAAAAACTGCCTTTGTCAAAAACCTCTAAGCAACCAGAAACAATGATCAGTTCCCACTTTTTCCACTAGGAGCATTTCATAGCTGCTCCTCCCTGCTTAGACACACTCTGTGCCCAGCCACAGGGCTAGCACTCTTGTTTCTCCCTCTTTACTCAACTGAACACTTTTCCTTGTTATCAACTCATTCTCCTCCTCCAGGGTGCCGAGAGCCCAGTCCTTGTATCACAGGAGATCACATCAAATCTTACAGCTCGCAGCATCATCTATAAAGCAATGACCTCAAATTCTTATTCCTAACTGCACCCTTTCTGGGGACCCCAGACCCATACCACCTGACCACGTGACATTTCACTTCAACATCTAAATAGAACTGTCCAACCTTAGTACAGTAATCTCTCACCTTCATAGTGGATTGGTTCCAAAACACCTCCTGCCCCAAACCTTAAGAAACCAAACTCCATAGATGCTCAACTCCCTCATCTACAATGGTGCAGTCTTTTACACAGAACCTATGCACCTCCTGCTGCATACTTTAAATCATCTCTAGATGATGTATTAATACCTAATATAATGTAAATACTGTTATAACTATAGATTTTCAGTACAGACACAATTTTTTTCCTGAATATTTTAAGTCTGCAGTTAGCTGCATTCACAGATGCAGAACCTGCAGCCAGAGAGAGCCAACTGTACTGTGATGCCCAGAACAGTTTTCTCTCCAAAGCCAGCTCCTTCCTGTCTTAAATCTCAATAGAAGTCAAATTCCAGCATCTGGCTGCTGCTGCTTGTATATCCAACAAGCAAGTCTTATTGGTTCCATCTTCAAATATATACCACAATCCGCTTAAGATTCTCACCACACACATTATTTTGCAGCACCACCACCTGCTGAGTGGACTACTCTAACATTGGATACCACCTGCCTCTTTCTACTTTTGTCCCTAACTCCTCCCCAGTATGCACAGATCATTCTGACCTAAGCAGCAGCTAAACTAATAATTTAAAATTTCAAATCATTATTTAAATATTCTGTCCAAAACCCTCCACACCTAACTGATAAAATACTTCTAAAACAGTAACTGGAGATGGATGAAAAAAGAGTGTCACTGAGGTAATTATTATACAGAAGTAACAGAATGGTCAATACAAGGGGCTTCAGTATACTCTACTTTCTACTTTAGATACACTTGAAATTTTCCATAACAGGAAGAGTAATAAATAATGATAATAATAAACAATGGCTTTACATCACATTGAAAATCCAAATTTCTTGCCAAAGTCACAGAAGGGTTCTAGACCACGGCCAGGTCTTCCCAACCTCTGTGCTCTCTACCTTGAATGCACTTTCTCTCCTTTTTCTCCTAACCCAAGAAGGACACTCTTTCAAGTTTTATTCAAGTCTGTGCTCTAAAGACAACCCCTCAAAGAAGCTTGACCGTCCTATCTAAAAGGGCATCTACTGCACCATTCTTTTATCACCTCATCCTGCTTTCATTTTATACTGCTAAAAGACATGTATTTGTTGTCCATCTTCCCTATCAGAATGAAGCTCGGTGAAGTGTATGGATTTATGTCTTATTCACCACTATATCACCTGAGCCTACTACAACAGTGCCATGAACATGTTCTGATATTTTACAATTAATGAGTGAATATGATATCACAAGACATCACAGACTATATAACAAAGGCAAGAAAAACTTCTTGGATATTGCATTCAGTAATGTTCTTTCACAAAAAAGGAGTCGATACCTATATAGTGAATATATTTTCTAGCTTAGAATACTTGGTCTTAATAAAAATCAAATATTATCAAAAGGAAGAACTTACTGGTGTAAGCTGTTGAGTATTTAATAACTGCTGAAACTGCTGTTGATGAATAAGTATTTGTCTTTGCTGGTCAGAAAGTAATCCTAGTCCTGAGGCACTGAAAAATGATCAGAATTCTTACTTTCTACTAAACACCTCTCAAGTAAATGAAAGACAACTTTCCAATTTGATGTTTAATAAATTAACAAATTTTTAATAACTTTTTAAATACAATTACATACAAATTATTTCTTCTTTCTCTCTCCTATATGCATGTTAACAGCTAAATAACAAGCCATATTGTCAAGATATTTTATTGTATACAAACTATACACTGCTTTTTATAGAATAGTGATGTATGTTTATTAAAAATCATGTATGTTTATTTTTAATTATTCAAGAAAACTTCAGCCCATACAAAGTAACACATAATTATAACAAAGAATACATGCTAACTGATTTGACCTAATCTTTTTAATGGCCAGTAAAATTAAGCACCAAGGAAAAGAAAGCCTGAAGAAATAGCTTAATAGTACCCATGCAAATCCATTTAGAATTTATTCCCCAAAAGAATATTTGATAACATGGCTACAGCCCTCTTATTTTGAACAAATATCCAAATGAAATTCCAAGACAATGAAACCAGTAAGTTTCACTTCCTAGAAATTCAAGATATAGGACCCAATATTTGATTAGAAAATGAACAAAACTACATAGTTGAATTTTAAACCAATATTCCTATGAATCTACACTGTAGTATTATCTTTTTTCAGAGTTTATGCTAACACGAACACAATATACAAGGGAATGAGAAAAATTAACACTGGCTTCATAGATCAAAACCAAGATTTTTAGCAAAGAGTATATTTAATGCTTTATTACTTAAAGTGATTTAGTTTTGTTTGAATTCAAGTTGACTTTCGAAAATACACTCTGTGTATACTCATTTTAAAAGTTTTGGTGATTTGTATTTTCTTAGAGTATATCTGTAAGTAACATATTAAAATCCCAATCTAATAAGACCAACACTGGTACTATGTTGTACCAAAAAAAAAAAAAAAAAAAAGTGAAACATTAGAGTAAATTTCTTACCTGTTAGTCAGTGTAGCTGGCATTGGATGTGTTGCATTAGGTGGTACAGTTGTGTGAGTGAGGGGGGCAGGGTTCTGGGATATTGTGACAGGGGTCGGAATAACCCCATTTAAAGCTCCTACAATGCCATTAATTGCCAGTTGGTTACCTGGCAAAGCTCCAATTATTCCACCCACTGCAGACACAGCAGGAATGTTGGATGTTACAGTCTGCATTCCACTAGCTAGTGCTCCCACTGTCACACCATTGACTTGCTGGACTCCACTAACTCCTGAGCCTGGTTGAGCTGGACTCTGCCCAGCAGGAGGTGGAGTCGAAAGAGCTGAAGAACTGCTGGTGCTTTGTCCACTGGAGGTTAAGTCCTATGCAAGAAAAATTATAAATTTAAATTGTAAACAACATAACAAAATAGTTTAAAATAATTTCAACGATTTGCAATGATATACTATTATTATATACTATTGTTCTCAAGTAAAACAAGTGAAAATAACCACACAAAAATTACCTGATTTAACACAGGAAGAGAATTATCAGGTAAAAAGCTGTTTCCTATATGAGGGCTCTTACTGCTGTTCAAGGAATCAGTAGTAGGAGCTACAACAGTAAAAGACAAAAAAAAAATTCATTTATCATTCATTTACCATATTAAATTCTAATATATGTAAGGTTAAAGGCTTATGTAAAAGCTTATTAGAAGCTCATATTAAATATTAAAAACACTTCAATAGTGAGTTTTACCAAAACCAGCTTAAAGAGAATATTGAATATTGTATCTTTAATAAGATCATTATGTAGTAAAATAAATTTTACCATTAAGTTAGGTACTAAGAAGTTAAAGCAAATTCAAGTTGACCACTTAATAGGATCCTTTACACCCTTTGAAAATAACCTATCATTTATTTTCTATATGTTCATGTAACAGCTGACCAGTTATCAGTTACTTATTATGCAAGTGATATTTTCTTTAAGTACAAATTAAATATTTTCATACTCACCAGTCTGTGCTGAAAATGCATGTATTTGATGAGATGGACTAGGATTTGTAGTTATTGTTGGAAAAGGCACTGAAAGCTGTGCATTTAATAGCTGAAGACGCTCCTTTTTGGCAGTCAAGTTTTTAATTTGTTCTTCTAATCTTCGATTTTCAACTTGAAGTTGGTGTAAAGACTTCAACATTCCTAAAACTAGCAAACATTTATTTGGATGAAAAGTCTATACAAAAAATATTTTATGAACCCAGTGTCCACAACCTTAGAAGTAAGTATAGAAATGGTAATATATGGGACTGGCATTAAGGCTTAGCAGGTAAAGCTGCCACCTGAGACACAAGCATCCCATATGTGCACCACCAGTTCGAGTCTCAGCTGTTCCACGGCCAATCCAGCTCCCTGTTAATGTGCCTGGGAAAGCAGTAGAAGATGGCCCAAGTGCTTGGGCCCCTGCACCCACATGGGAGACCCGGAGAAAGCTCCTGGCTTCCTGGCTTCGAATCGGCCCGCCTCCAGCCATCGTGGCCAGCTGGGGAGTGAACCAGTGGATAGAAGAGCTCCCTCTCTGCCTCTGCCTCTGCCTCTCTGTAATTCTGCCTTTCAAATAAATAAATCTTTTAAGAAAAAAACATAAAGGGAGATTATTAATGATAACCACTTACTTTCCTCAAAATAAAAGTTCTATTAAAAATCTGAAGTGCTTGCCATGATTTGTTCATTAAATTCCTATTTAAAATGGAAAAGGATCACACTAATATCCTTTTCCATAATAAAGAGCACACATTTTTGCTTACTGCTCAGTTTGCACTAAGCCTGTCCTCAGATCCTTGGCAGGAAAAGACTTCCATTTCAGTTGCGGCTCAGAATGTTGGTCTGCAGGCCACCCAGCAGGGAGCGCTGTGTGTGCACCCCTGCCACCTCTCTGTTTCCAGAGAAAGGTGCATGCCTGTAAACAGGCTTTCTGTCCTATTCCATCTCCTCAAATACTGTTTCAACTCTTTCTATTAGGATCTCCCAACTGACAATACAGAGTGCTGCTCTTAGGCCATGGTGACAGACACGTTAAAAATTCTATGTATTAAGAAGTATTTGTTTAACCCAACCTCAAGGCCTTCAAAAGACAAAACCCTACTGGTACAGCCACATATGGTCATTTCCCAAGGATTTAAGTTATATCCCTTCTCAAGATCCCACAAAGAAGTCCTTAGTGTGCCCAAATGAGATGAAATAAGACTAAGCTAAACCTGTCCTCAAGCTATCATGTTTAAAGGATTATCCTGGCATGAATTACCTTAAAATTAGCATTTTTGTCAGAGAATCATTAATAAAGATATCAATTTATGGCACTTAGCTCACAAACAATAGAGTAAAATGGTTTTAATAAAGCACCAAAGTTTAATTTTAAATCAATGAAGACCATCTATTTTTCTTCTCAAAACATATCTCCTTAACCAAAGTTAAGAACAATTCTCTAGCTAACCACCACCTGTTGTAACTCTTTTTGGCATTAATCACCCAAGGCTCTAATAGTTAAAACTGGAAAGATATTAAATATGCGTATATTATATAATATACAATTCAGTAAATATATGATAAACATATTAATTTAATATATAATTCAGTAATTACTTTTCTCCTCCAAATTGTAAAATTTAGAAATTAAGTGGCTATACTTGATTACATACAATTTTAAAAAATTCTACAGTTTTCTTCAATTAAGCTAAAAGAAGATTGAGCTCATGTTCATGTTCATCTTCATCCATCTGTCTTTATTTAAAGGCAAGAAAACAAATACTTACTGTCACTAGGAGTACCCTGTTCTAATAAAAATTGTTGTCCTTCACTCCACTGCCTCTCCAAAAGCTGTTCTATGCTCGCTGCTACTGGAGGCAGATTTTCTAAACTGTTGTTGCCTGGTTGATCATAGCGAATCTGTAAGCTGCTTACAGGGGATCTGTTGAAAATAAAGATGGAGAATGCTTTTAAGAAGAGTTCATTAAAGTTTCTTACCTTATGCTGACCTTTTTTTCCTGTACAAGTTTTCTAACACCAAGCTGCTAATGCCAGAAGTATCAAGTTCCTGGATTTATAAAACCACAATCTACCCTAAAATTGAGTAATTATCATTCTTCTTCCCCAAATTATGAAATCAAAGGAATGGTGACCATAATAGGTAATTAGAAACCACTAGAAAATATAAACATACCACCAGTAATCTCAGAAATAAGCTGAAAAAGAACTTGAACTTGATACGGCTTTATTTATTTATTTATTTATTTATTTATTTATTTTTGGACAGGCATAGACAGAGACAGAGAGAAAGGTCTTCCTTCCATAGGTTCACCCCCTCCTGGTCTCTCATGCGGGTGCAGGGCCCACGCACTTGGGCCATCCTCCACTGCCCTCCCGGGCCACAGCAGAGAGCTGGACTGGAAGAGGAGCAACCGGGACAGAATCAGGCACCCCAACCGGGACTAGAACCCTGGGTGCCAGCACCTCAGGCGGAGGAATAGCCTAGTGAGCCACGGTGTCGGCCTGATACAGCTTTATAAAATAAAATTATAAATATTTCACAATAACTAGAAGGGGAAAAAAATTTCCACTATTCTGACTTAGAATACAGCATATCAGAATAACATGTGACACCAGCATCCCAAATGGGTATTGGTTCAAGTAAGTCCTGGTTGCTCCAGTTCAGATCCAACTCCCTGCTAATATGCCTGGGAAAGCAGCAGAGGATGGCCCAAGTCCTTGGGTGCCTGCACCCATGTGGGAGACCCAGAAGAAGCTTCTGGCTTTGGATAGGCCCAGCTCCAGCTGTTGAGGCCATTTGGGGAGTGAACCAGTGGACCAAATACCTCTCTCTCTCCCTAACCCTGCCTTTCAAATAAAAAATAAATAGATCTTTAAAAAAAAAAAAACCTTGCCTTGCCAATTCTGTGTGAAAGTTCAATCAAATCAGATAAACTAACAATTTTAAAACAATCTATTGTTATAATTCAAAATTACTTATTTTCAAGTATTTATTTCTAGTAGTAACCATTTAATCAACCCTTCTAAAACAAATAGTATTTATATTATCTTAAATTACTAAATGTGGCCATTTCAGGTCTCCAGCCTCCATTCTAACATAACACATTAGTTAAGGAGCTTGAGAGTTTCCAAAATGTTTCCACATAACCCTAATTTCCTCATATGATAATCTTCAATAACCTAATGAGAAATAAAAACCTGGTTTTTTTGGCTCCATTTCCAAATCAGGAAACAAGGTTAGACTTTAATGACTTGTCCAAAGACACACCGCTAGAAAATGGTAGCAGTCAGGGCTACATCTGAGGCCTACCAGGAATCTAGAAGTGTTGCTGCTACGCAGCCTTAATATGCTTCTCTACAAAATTTCTTTAAATAAGAAGGTAAACAAATAGAGCTTTTTATTCCAGTGTAAACATCATATACTACAAATAGCTGACCATCCCTCTTGAAATAGCACATTATGCCATTACAATTCAGGTTATTACATTTTAGGCTTATTTTGAAAGCAACACAAAGTTAGAAATACACTCTAAAAATAATCTTGTACCAATTATTATGGTAATACCTGTTTAAACAAAAAAGAAAACACACTGAACAAAAGAGAACTTAGGGATTTTGAGTAATTTCTGGAAGACTTATGTGATATTTTTAGTGCAAAGGGGGCACAAAACACATGAGCAAAATTCTATTAACTTTCTTCTTTGAAAAGCGAAACATAACAGATATAATAGAAATAATTACAATTTATAACCATAGACCAGTCAGATAATTTTATAATTGTATACTTCAGATCCATGGTTTCCAAAAAGGGATATTTAATTTTCTATAGAGGTCAAGCAGTAAAAACAATACTACTCTTAATTCACTCAGGAATTATCAGGGAAAAAGCAGTACTACTAAAATTAGAGGTTAGTGGTCTAATGTCTATCATGAGAAAGAGGATTTTCCTTAACTGACATTCCACCAAATGTAATACAGTCATACTATTACTTATGGTTTGTCATCATATAAAAATGTTTACTTTTTAACAGAATCTCTTCTGTACTTGAAGACTCTAAAAAAGAAGACTCTAAAAAGGATTCTTTTGTCTTGTGCTCTACTGTCAACCAATCTAACTTGATGCTGAGTTTACAAAATTAGAAAATAGAGAAAACAAACCAGTAGGTGCAGTAAGTTGAAAAAAATGGAATAAAGTACAATGATAGCTATCACCAGAGTTCCCATATTCTATTAACTGACACAATGTTACAAACCACTATTCAGTTTCATAATTTCATATTTCCTAATTAATTATAATAAATGTGGTCCAATAGTATCTAACACAATTTTATAAAACATGTAATACCTTTGTCATACTCTGATACAAACATTGTTAAGAATCAGGAGAATTTTAGAGTTCTACCAGAAGAGCTTTGTTTACTGAAATAGAAACTGCACAATGCGATGTTAAGTGCACTGCTCACAACACAGCTGAAACTGGAACCCCAAGTTCAAAGTCTTGAGTTTGCAGCTTTAAGAGATTTTAAAGACTGTTTATGAGCAAAACTAATTCCCCAAATCAATGCATTAATAGTACCAGCAACTAAATATACAGATGATAAAAATCAGGGTTCAAATTGATTGGAAACATAAAAGATATCCTTTTAGCTTAAAAACCTAATCATGTGTTTAAATTAATACCCAAATTAACTTAGAATCATTTTTCTTGACTGTCTTCTTATCTCCAGAATGCTTTTACAGCCTCAAAAATGTACACTCACTGATATGAGATAACAAAGTTTCCAAATCGCAAAACCTTTCCTTTGCCTACTCTCAGCAGTGTAAATAGTGCTTACCGTGGAGAGAGACTTCCTCGGGGTGAGCTTCCTCTGCCAACCAGGCTGCGGCTATTGTCTCCAAGATCTTGATCTGCAGTGTAAATATTTCAGAACTGATAAAGTGACTCTCTTACTAGATAAGCGGTTTTAAGCTCTTGCCCTGATTTCTCCAAAAACATACATTAAACCTTTACCACTATCTTTGCAGCTACTATGAAGGTAGAAGATGGGGCATGTTGCTGGTTTAGAACTGCTGAACTGTGGCATGTAAGGCGTTGTCCCTACACGTTTTTGTGGGTGTAGAAGGCCATGGATTATGTTCTGCTCTTTCATTCCTTTCAATTTTACAGCACAGAAGCGTGGTTTGCATTTGCAGTACCCTCCCCTCAGCCACTTTTAATTTCTACGGTTAAAGTAATGAATCACAGCTGTGGACAGCTAATCTGTATGCTTATCACAGCAAATCCGTATGCTTTGTATTTTTTAACACTTTACATCCCAAACCAAGTTATAAAGTGTATTTACACAAAGCTGCACATGAGAAATTATTTGGTACATGGATCCTCACACCAAGAAATTCTAAATAAACAAAAAAAAAAAAGATGAAAATAAAGAATTCTGTATTTAAAAAAAATTTTAAGCCTCCCAAATCTTCCTAATTAAACATCAAATATCTCTGCTTGAAAAGTAACTTGTATCTCCCTCATTCACCCTATCTGGTCTCTTACAATGCTCTGGTCCGCTTATTCGGAGTCAAGTAACCTCTGACCCTTAAAGGGTAAAGACATGACTGATCCATTCTTGGGGAACTGCTAAACCCATTCCCTTCCCCCAAACAGGCATGACTACTTGGACATGTCAACAAATCCTTAAGGGTGGAATGAAACAAAGCAAATCCAGTGGCTCATTAAAACCATGCAAGAGGCAACTGCTACAAAATGTCAACTAGTAAAAATGCACAGGATTACTAAACACTGTAGAAATTCTCTAACAGGATTTTTTTTTAAACCAAGTTTGTGTAATGCAATTTCATGAATTATGCAAATAAAGATTTAGGCTAGTCACAGAAAAGCCCAGTGTTATGTTACTTTCCTTGCACAGAACTGAGAACTGAACACATCAATCACGGAAGTCACAGGAGACATGGTTGCATTCCTGCTGCTGATGGCTCTGCTTAAACATTTACATTTCAGACAGTAAAACAGCACAGCATACTACTCACTTCCAACTCTGATTCTTTTGGTTAAGAAAAAGGACACAATTCTCTATTAACCACACCCTTAGACATTTTTCAAATGAGTTCAGAAGGGGGTAGGAGAGGCAATTACATCGGGTAGAGTAGAATTTTAGAGTTTAATAATTCTTGAAAACTTACCTGTTTGACTGTTTTCAGTCTGAGCTATAAGAGCTGCCATTGATGGATTTGTATTTAATCTATTGCCATACATATGAGATGGTGCCTGACTAAGAGAGGATCCAGATAGAGTATTTGCCTAAATAAAAAGAATTATAAGTTAACTCTATTTGAAAATATCTTAATGTTTTTCCTTCTAATATATCTAGTAATTATTCTCTGCAACAAGGATAGTATAAGCAAGAATCCCTAACTTTTTAAAAAGCAGATTTTTATTCTTACTTGGTTTTGCCAACTGAACATGTGAATTTTTGAAAAATCGCATCACTACAAACTAAAGAAAAAAATGAAACACTGGCACACTCAAAAAACTATTCTTGCTTTTAATTTTCAAAGTAGCTGGTTCATAGTGAAGCCCAGCGGCACAGTAGCCATGTGGATATACAACTACTTATTTAATCTTGTTAAACCATTTATAAATAAGGCAGGTAGACAACAGATTGTCTAACAAAATACCATAATCTCTTATATCACAAGCTGGTTAAGGAAGTAAAAACTTCCAACTACTATTACTAGTATTTTAAGTACATGGAGCCATACTGCCATTGCTTAACTCTGTCATTAGTAAAACCTGCACACTATTTTGTTACTTCCTATTTTGATAGACTTGGAAGCCTGCTGCTTTTTCTGTTTTGTTTTGTTTTGTTTTGTTTTTAAAAGAAAGCAAATAGGCATCACAAGTATGCTTTCTATACAATGCAGGGCTCAACGAATCACAGCTCTGCCCTGACCCCATATAAGGCACTGTCTTTTTGGCAGAAAGCCAGCTCAACTAACTGAAGAGCTCGTCCAAAGTTTGTAATTCATTCATGTTGCTAACCACAATTCTGAAGGCCTCTCCTGGGACCTGTGCCAAACAAGCGAAAATGAACCCTTAAACAGATGAAGCTAAAGAGGCTGGCCAAAGTATTGCATAATCCAATGTAATAAAAATGCCTCCTTTGATGTGCATGCTCTCTCCCACTTTCCAAGAATATTACAACCTTAAAATGTGGCATTTTGAAGCAAATCTCCTATACTCAAAATACTGTTACTCACTGGGCTGAAATAATTTTCAGATTTAACAGAAACACAAATTTTAAAGTAGACTTCTTGTTCATGAATGAAATTGAGCATAAGCTTTATCAAATGAAATCACTGCATAATTATTTTTAGAACAAAAATCTAGGAAACAATTACAAAGAACCAAAGCACTTCTAACATAAAGAAGCTAAATAACAGCAGAACAAAAGATGTGGGACACTGTGACATGTATAACTGCACACAAGAGACAAAGATGATATAGTACTTATAACAAGCAAATATTACAGAGAATTAACTATGTTTCTGGATAGTCTCATATCCTAACATTATATCTTGGCCTTTAGCCAACTTATTAACCATGAAAACTGTACTTTTACAATTCATAAAAATAGTGGCAAGATACAGAATCCTCTCCTTGCTTATCAATGTTTCAAATAGTGTGTTTCATACTTCACATTATAATTATGGAAATCCAATGTGTCAATTTCTGTGTTTCATTTTTTCAATTAAAGCTACATACAAAGTCAATGCACTTTTTCTTACAAAGTCCTGTTTAGCAATCAATTACCCTTCAGTAAAAGGTAAAAGGTTTACCTCTCTAGTCTTAGCTACTCACAAAATAACTTAGAACAAGAAAAATAAAAAATAAACCTGACTCAGATGAACCAGATATCACCAGACTATGTGTTAAATAAGTCTCAGATACCACAAACTGAAAAATTCCTTTTGCAGAGCCAACTGACTCCTACTATAGACACAATTCGAGAATAATCAACTAAGCATACAATAGAATAGAGGCAGAAAATTAATTAGAAGGAGGAAGAAAAACTACCATCTTGAGAGAGCTTTTGGCAGCAAGAAGTAACAGCTAACAGCAAGAGATGAGAGAATAAAAAATTAGTAAGAGTGAGGATGCTACAGAGTGTATGTAGAGGAGGTGGGGAGGAGCTAGTCCTCAAAGAACTGGTACCTCTAGATGCCCTAGCACCTGCAAAGCAAGCCAACATGCTTAGCCTTCTGTCCTTCCATATTTGTGCAGTCATCTCTGTGGTAAAATAGCTCAATTTTAACTAATACTACACCACTTAGAATGTCTCTTTAGCTCCAATTACAAGTCAGTAGGTAAGACTCAAACTACCCAAATCCTCAGAAATATACTTTTTGTAGGAAGGGTCCCTTCTGCTAAGAACTTCATATTTATATTTATTAGCTTAAAATTTCAGAGGCCAGAAATTTTCTGGATCAAGTCTTCAAATTATCTTATTTTCTCTATCATTGGGGCCACTATACTAAAAGCAAAATAAAAAGCAATACAGCATATGACCATAAACAGATTGAAAATAAAAGTTAAAATTTTAGCACATCACAAAGCAGAAAACTCTACTTTTAAAAGATGACGGCAGAATTAAAATAAAATGAGAATATTATCTTCAATGATCTATTTCCCAAGATATTGAAATGGTTAACAACAACAAAAAAGCTGATATTTAAAAATTTTTTTAATTTTGCACTTTAAAAAATTACTACATTTCCCTCAATAAGACACTTTCAAAAGAGAAATCAAAACAAGTTATTAGTTTTCCTAATAGAATTGTTTTGGAATACTAAAACATCTAGTCATTCTACATTAATTCCTGCTGGAAAACTCAAGTCATGAACATCATTTTAAAGTGAGTAGCAAGGGACTAGCATTGTGGTACAGTGGGTTAAGCTGTCACCTACAATGCCTGCATCTCATATAGGCACCTGTTCAAGTACTAGTTGCATAATTTCCAATTCAGCTTCCTGCTAATGTACCTGGAGAAAGCAGAAGATAGCCCAAGTACTTGGGTGCCTGCCAGATACACCTGCCATATGCATGGGAGATTCAGATGTTGTTCCAGATTCCTGGCTTCCACTGTGCCCATTCAGGGTGTGAGCCAGAGAATGGATGATATCTGTCTCCCTCCCTCTCTGTACGACTCTGCCTTTCAAATAAATAAATAAGTAAATTAATGAAAGCATGAATGGAGTGGGTAACAAGGTTACCAATGACTCCATAAATATCTATCATGACTCGCCATGGCATGAAATAATATTTGGAATTGGTTAATGCTGGGTACCCTTGATGATCCTTTCTGTTGATGCCTCCAGACCAGGGGGGGGAAAAAAAAACAGTCCACATTTTTAAAGTTCTCACAACTTAATAGCAGAAAAGATGGATAAGTGAGAGAACTGAGAAAATGAGAAAAGAAAGATTACTTTAAAAAGTATAGACAAGAAGTCCAGTATTTTTTAAAGCTCAAAAATCATTGTCATTAACAAGTGAAAGTACTAAGATTCAGAGGGATGCAAAGAAGTCCATGTTAATGAGGAGAAAACAGTTACAAAGCATAAAGTGCTCTGAGAGAGTTTACAGAAAAGAAATCTGGAACAAAGAACAAAGGAAACCTTACTATACATGCACTTCTCTACAACATACTATACATGGGATATGGATTTACAAAATGCATTGAAAGTGAATTTCTAATGTACTGTAAGTCTGCTTCAGAAAATAAAATATAAAGCCTAGAAATTCTTTTTGGAGGAAACTACCTATATTTTATGACATTTCAGTTTCATTATGCTCAGGTAAGAAAAATGGCTATTATGGATACGTATTCTTCTTGGATCTATACTGATAGTGTAAGAATAGAATTGTTGGGGCTGATGCTGTGGTACAGTGGGTTAAAGCCCTGGCCCGCAGCACCAGCACCCCAATGGGCGCCAGTTCTTAGCAGCTCCACTTCCAGTCCAGCTCCCTGCTAATGCTGCTGGCAAAGAAGCAGAGGATGGCCCAAGTCCTTGGGTCCCTGCATCCATGTAGGAGACCAGGAAGAAGCTCCTGGCTCCTGATTTCAGATCAGCTCAGCTCCCACCATTGCGACCATTTGGGGAGTGAACCAGTGGATGGAAGACCTCGATTGCTCTCTGTCTCTACCTCTCTCTGTAACTCTATCAAATAAATAAAAATATTTTTTTAAAGAATAGAGTTGTTGACAGCAGAAAGTGAATGAAGGATATTCATGATATACGTGAATTCTTGTCCTGATTGCAATCTTTCTATACATCTAAAATTATTTCAAGACAGTAAGTAACTACTGCCATAATAAACTTCTGGGTTTATTTTTTTGGTGTTGTTTTTAAAGGCAAAGTTATAGAGAGGCAGAGGTAGAGAGAGACACAGAGAAGTCTTCCACCACAGCTTTATTCCCCAAGCTGGGCCTATCCAAAGCCAGGAGCCAGGAGCCAGGAGCTTCTTCTAGGTCTCTCACGTGGGTGCGGGAACCCAAGGACTTGAGCCATCTTCAGCAGAAAGCTGGATCTGAAGCGGAACAGCTGGGACTCAAACTCGTGCCCATATGGGATGCCAGCACCACAGGCAGAAGCTTAGCCTACTAAGCCACAACACTGGCCTCCAAACTTCTATTTTAACAAGCAATATATGATCTCTTAAAAAGCCTCCATAAGAATAATAACCAAAAGGAAACCACTTCCCTTCAAGATGTTTTTTAATATTTAATCTAACATTCTAGTAAAAACTTCACTAAGAGTAATATTACTTTATATAAGGACCCAAGAACGGTAGATCAAAAATGAGTTGAATGATAACTGAAGTAAATCTGAAAGTATGTTTAGGTGTCCACACTGAAGAATACGTTATTTAGAAATTTAGAGTAATAAGGTACTGAAATCTAGAAAAACTGCAAGCCTCTAATAAGACTCACACAAATAAATACAGTATTTTTTAAGTAGTCTGACATACCACATAGAAATATGAACAAGCCTGAAACTTCACCTACTAATGTTCACCTCTTATATTTTAAACTTCTACCTAGGACCACAGAGATATTTTAAAAGAGCTCTAGTTGTAAAGCAGCAACTATACCAAATTCCTAGGCATCTGGCTCCTTCCAAAGGAGTTAGTTATGTATAGAAAGCAGTCAAGCTAAGACTATTTAATTATCTGAATATAAGACTTAAAAGTGGGTATGTTTTGGGTAGATTTTCCCTCTCCCTAATGTTGACAAAAATATA